TAGTGAGGCTCTCCAGAGTAGGCTGGGCCTGAGTTGAGTCTTCAGTTATAATAATAATAACTTCTTATGTTGTATCATATTTTGTATATTAGAAAGCACCTCTACATATGATATCTTATTTGGTCCTTGTCACAACTATGTGGGGTGGTGCAGACAGTGCCAATCCTTTTGAGTTTACTTCACATAACCTCTTTACTTTGTTTGATATGACTGGTCATGCCCTTGTTGTTGACATTCTCTCCTGGTGTCTGTGAGACTTTGAACCAATTGTTTCTTACTGCTGTGGTCTGAAGGTTTGTGTCTACCTCCACCTCCCTGGATCCCGTCACTCATATGTTGAAGTCCTCACCCCCAAAGTGATGGTGTGAGGAGGCAAGGCCTTTGGGAGATGATTAGGTCATGAGGCCAGAGCCCTCATGAATGAGATTGGTGCTCTTGTAAGAGAGGCTCTAGAGAGATTTCTTGCCCCTTCTGCCATGTGAGGTTAGAGGGAGAAGACAGCTGCAATGAGGAAGTGGGCCCTCACCACCAGACGTGGAATCTGCCTTGATCTTGGACTTCCCAGCCTCTAGAACTGTGAGAAATACATTTATGTTGTTTATAAGATATCCAGTTTATGGCACTTTGCTATATTGGCCCAGACAGGCTAAGACATTCACTGTCTTCTTGGATGCTCCTTGGTATCTATTGCCACTCTTTTCCTTTATCCTATCCCTTAAATATCAGTGTCCCTAAGGGGACTATCTCATGTTCTCCATCACTGGTGTGAATGTAGTCCACTGATGACTGACAAGCCCAAGAATTGGAATGGCTTGCAGTTAGGGGATGGGAGGAAAGGCACTGGAGAATTTCAAAGGGTTGGTAGATATAGTTGGAAAAATTTCCCCAGGTAAATCTGACAGCCCTCACTCCTCTCTGTTTTGGGAACCACCTACCTATAGATGCCAATGGTTACATTCCTAGCCAATCTCTTTGTTGGACTCTGGATCTACTACCCAGTCTTCTACAGGAACTTTAGGCCTGGCTGTTTTACTAGAGCCTCAATCAAATGTCCCAAACAAAACCCACTAGTTCCTGCTTCCCCTACCATGGCCAGGATTATGGCTGCATCTTCCACTCCTCCTTCTCCCCTCACATTCCTCATTCCCCGTGGCTTATAATCCACCACAAAATCTTTCAATTGTACTTTTAAAAATCTCTAGAATATGCCTGCTCCTCTCTGGCCCCACTACTGCTGCATCAGGCTCTGGACTTGTCTTTGTGGTTGTAAGCTCTCCATGCACGTTCTCTGTACTGCCATTGGAATAACTGTTCTAAAATAAAAACGTGCCTGCATTACTCATTGCCAATGATCAGACAAAGCGGATGCTGTGTGCAGTTCTTTGGTACTAGGCCTGTGCTTACTTATCAGCTTCATCTTCTGCCATTCCCACTCTGCCTTCTCCTTGATGTCTGTGCTTCATTCTGTACTTCTTTCCCCAATACCCCATGCTGTCCCTCGTCTGCCTGCACCATCCCACTCTGCTTGGCTAACTCTTCCTATACCTTCACCTTTATATTTCTAATGTCCATCTGGCAAACATTCCCTGACCTCTTCTAGCTAGGCAGAGAAAGTTTTCTTCTCTTTATTTGCCACCATAATTCTTTGGGTGTTGCAGCTATTTTATATCCCCTACTAGAGTATAAAAGCTTTTATTTATTTATTTATTTTTATAGAGTCTCACCTTGTTGCCAGTCTGGAGTGCGGTGGTACGATCTTGGCTCATTGCAACCTCTGCCTCCCGGGTTCACGCCATTCTCCTGCCTCAGCCTACTGAGTAGCTGGGATTACAGTCACGCGCCACCACTCCCAGCTAATTTTTGTATTTTTAGTAGAGATGGGGATTCACTGTGTTGTCCAGGATGGTCTCGATCTCTTGACCTCGTAATCCACCCACCCTGACCTCCCAAAGTGCTGGGGTTGCAGGAGTGAGCCACTGTGCCTGGCTGCCTTTTTTTTTTTTTTTAAATAAACACAAGACAATTGTTAATACATCATTTTACACTTAGAGCCCAGAACTTAGCAGATGTTCAGTTAATATCTGTTAGATAAATACATGTTGCATAATGAATTATTTCTCATATAAAGAAATAAAGATTAATTCACATGTCTAAGAGGGACAGAGTGAGTCCTCTAATCTAGGGTTGTTCCTAATAAATCATTTACCTATGGTTAGAGAGACTCTGTACATATACATGAATTGGGGTTGAACTTTAATATGAGATACTATGTTATAGGCTTTTCTAGTTTTCTTTTAAAATTTTGCTACAGAATGATAGCATTCTCAAAGACAGCAAGGGAATAAAAAGCAAATGTGACTGCTTAAGGAAGAAGTAGACTAGAAATGGGGAGCCCACCGCTAACTCTGTGTGCTTCTCTTACAGCACTTATCTCCTCCCAGGCCAGGCTCCCTCTCCATAATAGATGTGGGTAGATGAGGCGATGTTTAAATGTCTAACTCTGTAATTCTGTTATGCTGCATGTGTCACAGTGCCCTTTAAGCTACTTCCTCCTTAAAAGGCTCAGTGAGCAACCAGTGAAATATACCAGGAAGTATGATGTATCTTGAAGCTTGACACAAAAACCTCTTGGCACAAGTATCCTGGACAACATGCAACTGATGGGCACACCTGGCCGGTCTCAGCTCCAGATGTTTTCCTTAATCCCTGGCCTTTCATCAGGAATGTGGATTTCTACTACCATTTAATCCCTATCTAAATATACACCCATCTGAACAGTGTGGAGGATTGGATGGTAGATGGAATCAGTTCAAAGTGTAGACGGTGGCACAGTGTTTTTCACAGACAGCCTATCCCGGGGGTCTGTACTAGCTATTTTCTCCCTATATCTATGTACAGGAAATTCTCCAACCCATGAGGAAAGGACCCTAGGCTGGTCTATTACAGCAAGTTCTTAGTGATGGTAGATATTACATTTTTGTTATAGTTAATAAATGTAAATGTGACCAATTCTTCACTGTCATGTGTTTTCAAATTCTGAATATTTATGTTTTATTGTAGAGGGTGTATTTTTTGTCAGAGAATTATAAGACTAGAGGGAAAGACTAGAGGGAAAGCATGCTCAGTTCCTTAGAGGAGTCCCCTATCTTCTCTGCCACCAGCTGCTGCTGATTGGATTGGGGTGGCATCTGTCAGCACAGCCGAACTATGAACTGGTTCAAAACCTGTGGTCTGACCTCATGCAAAAGACATCAGCTGCAACCAGACTCTTGAATTGAGAAATACTGAGAGAATGGGACCATTAACCCCATTAATTCCAGAGGAGGAAATGGTAGCTGTGAAGACGCAAGAGAGAAACTCAGGTAAAGTTAGAACCATGAGGTGTCATGGTAACCTGAAGTTATGAAGAAGCAGAAACTGGAATTGTTAAGAATTCAGAGGTTGCACTTCCATGTGGGAGTCCCCAAGGTGTGAACCATACAATCGGGAGTAAAGAATAAGTCACTTAGAAGAAAGAGAACCGAGTGGATGAGCAGAGACAGATTACAAGGGTCCTACCACATACTCCTGCTGCTGCTGGCAGAGAATTGTCTCTGGACCTGCACAATCTGCTTGTCCAGTTTCGTGCTCAGAAAGGTCCGGCCCTACCACAGTGCTTGTTCGTATTTCTGTGAGGTTCCCTCTCCAGTGTGTATTCTTACAACCACCACTTCTTCCTCATTTCTTGCAGTAACTGGAAGAACCTAACACAGACACCTGTAGGGCAGGGCTCCTTGTTTTCTGACTTGCTGGCTCTGACCACAGGTAGAGCATTCAGGTGTCCAAGTATCTGGGTCACTCTTTCTCCACATTCATGGAACATTTTCATTTGTATAGCAATGTCTTTAGATAGTCAGCAATCAGATCCCTACACCTTAATACTTAAGGAAATATTTAAATTGGAGTGCCATAATTTAGGGCTTACGGATACCAAGGAAACGCTGGATGGTTTTTAGGGGGTTCTAGAAACCCGTGTAACTGTTTGCAGTGAAAATGTGTGTGTACATGTGGGGGGGGGGTTGCATTCATCTCGTTAGAGGTCCCATAACTTTAACCAGTTTCTCAGAGAACTCTGTAACCCTCCATCCCCCTGAAACTGAAGATCACTAGTTTGTGTGGTACGAGCTCAGACTTTATAGAATCAGACCTGTGACTGATATCCCAGTTGTACCACTTACCAGCTGGGTAGCCTTGTATGTTTACTTTACCTCTCTACAGCGTATGTTATTTATGTATGAAATGAGTCTAATACTCATAGTAATCACCCATAGGAGTTTTATAAGGATTAAGGGAGATAACCCACATAATGTGTTTAGCACAGCACCTGGCATACAGCAAGTTCTTAGTGATGGTAGATATTACATTTTTGTTATAGTTAATAAATGTAAATGTGACCAATTCTTCACTGTCATGTGTTTTCAAATTCTGAATATTTATGTTTTATTGTAGAGGGTGTATTTTTTGTCAGAGAATTATAAGACTAGAGGGAAAGACTAGTAACCAAATATAATTTTTCAAAAGTATAAATTTTATTCTCTAACAAGGCACATCAGAAAATACTGTGAAAATTTACTCATATTTTATAAAATTTATAAATATATAAAATACTGATGAGCTAAATGTATCTATTTTGTACTGATGAACATGATTTTATATATTATCATAATCATTAATAAAAATTAGATGAATTTAAAAGTCAGTTGCTTGGAGGTTAGTAAAATATTGAAATGACTGAAGTTGAAGATTTGTTACCACTTAACATACACTTATTTAATACCAAATGTTTCACTGTGGAGGAATAGCTGAGAAACCAAATGTATTGACTAGAGTTTATATGAATGTTTCAATATAGCTGCTCTTGCTTGATTATGTATTTAAAAATTTTGTTTTTATTATTTTTTATTTGTAAAATAGAGACAGGGTCTCATCATGTTGCCCAGGCTGGTCTTGAACTCCTGGGCTCAAACGATCCTCCTGCCTCTGCCTTCCAAAGTGGCATGAGCCACTGTGCCTGGCCAATTATATTTTTTTAATGCCTAGTAAAAATCCATTATAAGGTACATTTTTTGCATTACCAATTAACTTGCATGGGAAAATGTGTGATCCACAGCAGGGCAAGACTTCGACCAGCTAGTTTAGAATAAAAGCAGATACAGTCAAATGAATCTTACTGGAACAAATAGGAAAGATATTATTACGATATTCTGCATCCAAATGGCAAGAGATGACACCATTTTCTGAATTTACTTCAAATAAATATCCTGCAATGGAATCAGCCTCCCCAGGGACCTCTCTGGACTCTGAGAAGTGATTAAAGGGACTGTGTGGCAGTCATGGGCATGCAAGCAGCTGTGGCCATCGAGCTGGTTCTAACAGGTCAGTCCTGATGAGAACTCCATGGTGGAGAAAATAAATCCTCTAAATTCCTGATGGGAGGCCTTTGACTTTTAATGTGACAAGTGATTAGTCAGGTGTATGTGAATAATCATTATATGGGAAACAACACCAGCAAAACAAAACCCAACCCAACTCACAAATGCAAAAAATGTCATGTTTTCAAAATAATGATGTCCAGCCTGCCTTTTGCAAAGGGAAGAAGCACAGGAGTGGGTTTTACCAAGACAACACAGTGTTCTTATTCCACCAAGTGGAAGAAATAAAAGTAAGGAATTTTCTGGCCCACATCCAATCACTCAACCTCTGTTGACTGGGTCCAGATCTGCAGATGCCTCAGGCCACAGAGGTATTTGGCTGGACTCCATGTCTGTGTAGAAGGACAAAAGTCTTGCTATTTGCAGATTGTGTGGGTAGCAGGAGTCATGTCAATGATGATGATGGTGATGATGATCATGATCATGATGCTTTTAGTTGAGTGTTCTCTGACTTTTTGATAGCTATTTGCACATAATTTTTAATCTAAGGATCTCAGGTAGATCTGGTAGTGGGGTTTCCAGGGGCTGTCTTGTCTCTGAGAGAATGCCCTTGGTGTCAGTTGCCTCCACCTACCCTGGGCCATGCCCAAGCTGAAGGCCAGCGGCCAGCATTTTGCTTAGGTGCGAGGCTGTTGCATAGCAACTTTCTGTTCAAACATGCTGAGAACGGATTCTGATCCTTTTTCCAATCTTCTTGAAGACAGTCCCCATGTAGGACACTGTATTAGCGCAGTGCCCAGCCATCCTGACTATCTAGATAGGTTCTCTGTACATGCTTGGCTGCTGCTTCTTGTCAATGAATACATGAATGACTCCTTCATGCAAAGAGCAGCTTGCTACTTTTATCTTTCTCTCTTTTTTTTTGTTGGGGGGAGGGGAACAGAGAGGATTAGGAATTTGGAAAACTCCTTAGTACATTACTGGTAGTTGCTTTTTATTCAATAGAAGACATGATCATTAGTATAATTTCAAATAGTTCCCAGCTCCAATCCTTCCTTTCTGTCTTGTTTCTATAAGGATCTCCCATTTAGTTGACTTCTCCATTCCCAAATTTAGACGTGAGAATGAGTCCCTTAAGCAAGTCTTCCGGAAATTCCGGAACCTTGAGATTTGGTGCCAAGCCTAGGATTAAATTGTGTTTAGAATGATTATAGCTGTTGTTCCTACAAACTCATTTCAGGGAGAGAAATGGAGATGTCTGTTGTGTGACTTTGTACTGGGTCATCTTAGTTAAACTCCATTTCTCGTAATCACTTTCGTTGTGGCTCCAGGTTACCTTTAGGCACAAAAAAGATTTGAACAAGATCTGGAAGAAGAAAGTGAAGCAGCAGCCATATTTTGCCCACTGAAGGTGGATATAGAACTGTAGGTGCAATGGCAGATCATGCACACTGATGATGATCATGAGCTCACATTGTGGACCACTAAGACCACAGCTCCTCCAGCAACCACGGATGGACCACAGCTCCTCCAGCAACCACGAATGGACCACAGCTCCTCCAGCAACCATGGATAGACCACAGATCCTCCAGCAACCATGGATCTTCCTTTGGCTTCTCTGAGTCTCTAGCCTGATATACGCACAGCTCCGTGATACAGTGTGTTGGCTTTACCATGCAGATGTCCTCATCACTGATGCTGAAGGGGATGAAAGACAGATGTGAATTCCAATTTGTTCTCATGGGTTCCATTTAATTCTCTCCCTCTCTTTCTCTTTTTTCTGTTTTTTCCTAATAAGGAGTCTTGTTCTGTTGCCCAGGCTGGAGTGCAGTGATGTGATTTCAGCTCACTGAAACCTCTGCCTCCCGGGTTCAAGTGATTCTCGTGCCTCAGCCTCCTAAGTAACTGGGATTACAGGTGCATGCCACCATGCCAGGCTAATTTTTGTATTTTTAATAGAGATGGGGCTTCACCATGTTGGCCAGGCTGGCCTCGAACTCCCGACCTCAAGTGATCCACCCGCCTTGGCCTCCCAAAGTGCTGGGATTACAGGCATGAGCCACCGCATTTGGCCCAGTTTATTCTCTTAAGCTCTGGTTTGTCCTTGCACTCCCGCACTGACAACCAGCTTTCCTTCCTCTTGGCTCAGGTCCACAGCCACTCCATGCCCATACCAGTCACAGAAGCCACAGCCTTATGTAGACTTTTCCACTAGCTCCCATACTAGTGCTAAGAATTGAATCCCTATTTTACATTGCTCACAGTGGTTCTGCTTCTCTCATTGAACCTTGATTGATACACCCATTCTTATCCTAAATGAATACCAGCATCCCTTTTAAAATGGTGGCCCTGGTGTTCAGCTGTTCTTTATACTCTCTTGGAGACCACCAACTCTGGGGGGGGAAGGCATGAAGATCCTTTTCTGTATTTCATCTGGTATGTTAGCTGAACTTGTAAACTTGAACTTGTTTCATGTAACTCAAGTATACTATCCACAGGAGAGAAGTAGCGAAGGTTTATAGGGAAAAAAAATAGACAATCCATTGCCATCAAAGAGACTGAATGGGGAGGGCAAGCATACACACAGGTGCAAATATTAAAGGACTGATTAAACACCTGAAGGCATAGGCGAAATGAGGAAAAGATGAGGGGAAGGTGGAGGAAACAAAGGTAAACACAAGTTGTGGGTACAATAAATGTTTGTTGAATGAATGCATGAGAGGTGTTTTGACATTTTAATAAAAAGCAAATATAACAAGAATATAATATTATTTTTTAATCTCCTACTTTCATAATACCCCAATAAAACTATTTTAATTTTCAGCTATTATTCTTCATCTCTGTATACATTCATCAAATACTCAGAATTGCAGTGCAACAGCTTTTTGTAGTTTCTTTGTTTTGCCCCAATTATTTTTTCATATATATATTTTTTTCCATTGACCTGGGAAGCTATGATGACTTTTAAGGACATTTTAAACCTCTGTTCAAAAAGGTTTTATGTTTTCCACTTCAACTCCTGCTTAGAATGTTTAGTTCTGAGAGGGATCTGAGCTGTTTTGGAAATCAGTCTAACAAACGATTGTGAAAGCAGTGTGTAGCCAAGGTGAGTCGTAAAAAGTAAGAGCTGTTGCTAAGGGAACCACTAGAGAAATGGTGAGGGTATAAACTTTGCTATCATATTTAAATTTCTTGCCAGAGTTCTTGTTTATTGTACTTGAAAATTTAAACAGCTCCAGTTAAGACAGAAATGTCCTGGGGTGATGGACGTGGTCTGGCAGAGGCCATTGTCACAGAAGATAGTGCAGGCTGCTGGAAGGAAGGGAAGGAAGCTGTTCCTGCCCGCAGACCAAGAAGAGCACTTTCTCGACCCAGGAATCTGTGAATTTGAATGAGATTTTAGTTTACAATTGGGAAAAATCACCTTTGTGTGGCTGCCCAGGTCCCTCTCTACCTGGGTGCAAGTGTTTTGTTAAGGTGGCTGGGCACAACTTTTATGTATACACACACACACACACACACGCGTAGGAACACAATTAAATGCAACCTTACATTGAACTCCAGTACCTTCAATTGGTACAAATGGAGCTGCATTGATTGGTTTGTGAGTGAGGTGACAAAATTTCTCACTCTTGGCCTTCACCTCACCCTTACTTCCAACTCTACTTCTTTACTGCTGCGGTCCCTGAGGCCCATGTGGCTATCAGAAAAATAGCTTGAAAAATGTTAGTTTAGGACCACTTTTATTCACACTTATGAGGACATTGGAAGCTTTAATTTGTGAATCAGAGATTTTGCATTTCTTTTTCCTTTTCATTAATCTCTTGGTAATAATAAAGATACTATAAGAGCAGGCTGGGTGCATTGGCTCACGCCTGTAATCCCAGCACTTTGGGAGGCTGAGGCGGGCAGATCACGAGGTCAGGAGATCGAGACCATCCTGGTGGTGAAACTCTGTCTCTACTAAAATTACAAAAAAACAGCCGGGCGTGGTGGCTGGCACCTGTGGTCCCAGCTACTCAGGAGGCTGAGGCAGGAGAATGGCATAAACCCGGGAGGCAGAGCTTGCAGTGAGCCGAGATTGCTCCACTGCACTCCAGCCTGGGTGACAGAGCGAGACTCCATCTCAAAAAAAAAAAAAAAAAAGATACTACAAGAGCAAAATCTTCCATCATTCCTGTAATGTGCCAGGCATCGTGCTAAGCACTTTACAGATAGCAGTTCATTTGATCTTTCCAACAACCCTATGTGGAAGGTTCTACTGTAATTCATGGATTCTAAAACATTTTTCTCTCACATTTTAGCATTTGTGAACTTAGAATGTATCTTACTTTTGATGGTGTGACATAGTTTAATGGGAAGCATTTTAAAATTTCTTAATGAACCATAACATAATGGTGTGTTTTAAATGACAGCTTAGATTCCATGAAATGCCATCTTAATATTCCCATTTTACAAACGGAGAATGAAGGCACTGAGAGGTTCAGTAACTTGCCCAATAATATACCTTGGCATCCTGGCTCAGCAGTATGCTCTTTTCCAGGCATTTGGCCTGGGATTTCCCCTGTTTCTCTATGAATTGACATTGAGGGTTGCTCCCTGGGCCTCAGAGGTCCCCTGCAGTTCTGACACTGGATTTTATCCATTGGGTGGAGGGCTTCCTGCAGGCAGACACCCCTGGCAGGGTTAACACATCAAGCATTTTTCACTCAATTGTTAACACTGCTGGAATTTGCTTATTATATTGCTTTTCCAAATGACAACCAATTCCAGAACAGTCCTTTGGAGATGAGGCACAGCTGAAGTTTTGATAAGGGAAAAGACTGGAAGGATCGATGGTGTGCTAGAACTCATTTCAACTGGCTTGGAAGAGCTCTTGCCAGCTGGTTGTTTGAAATCATTCTGCCAATAAAATTGACCATAGTGGAACTATTTACATCATAGAAACGGTCAAACATCATGAATCAAGACTTTTTTGTTTGTCTGTTCTTTTAGCTTAGAAACAATTTTTTTGGAGGGGATACCCATCCAATGTCTGTCCTTTCTAGAGAGCAGATTCGGAAGCACATCACTAGACAGATGCTCAACCATCTGATTCCCACAGAAAACCTCATTGGTCAAAACACAATGGTGGGAGGAAAGCAGGCAGAGTCAGTGTGAGAAAATGAGCAGAATCCGAAGTTTTCAAAATAGTCTTAATGTCAAATAATTTCAATATTATTACAGTTAGATCTTGTGCGTGTGTGTATATGTTAATTTAATTCATGTTATCATCTTAATGTCATTATAGATAGGCGAACATTGACACATACGTTATCCATATGTGTGGTGCTGTAGAGAAATAAAAATTATCCAAGGAGCGGCCAGGTGCAGTGACTCACGCCTGTAATCCCAGCACTTTGGGAGGCCATACGTAGCAGGCAGATAACAAGGTCAAGAGATTGAGACCATTCTGGCCAACATGGTTAAACCCTGTCTCTACTAAAAATACAAGAATTAGGCAGGCCTGGTGGCAGACACCTGTAGTCCCAGCTACTCAGGAGGCTGAGGCAAGAGAATCGCTTGAACCCGGGAGGCAGAGGTTGCAGTGAGCCAAGATGGCACCACTGCACTACAGCCTGGTGACAGAGCGAGACTCCATCTCAAAAAACAAAACAAAACAAAACAAAATTAGCCAAGGAGAGAGCACTGCTCACTTTTAATCTTGTCCTCCTTGCTAAGAGAAGGAAAGGCTAGCGAGCTATTTGCCAACAGCAGTGAGTGGCCAACGGAGCTTCCAGGATCATCTAAGTGTAGCCTAGAAACAATAAATATTAGATCTTAGAGGGCAGTGATCACCATGTAAAAAGTGATAAGTGTATGTTCATTGCTGAGTTGAGCAATTATGGGAGTTCTCATACAGTCACATCTCTTCCATATGAATTATTTTGTTATTTTTTTCCTCTTTGGTAATTCTCAGTAAAATCCACGAAATGAAAAGAGCTGTGGGCTTATCATGAGAAGGAGGAAGGAAGTGAGCAGAAGCACAGGCGGCCTCACTCTCCTCAGCCTGAAGACAGAAAACCCCAGGGAACAGAATGGATTGTGGCAAGGTTAGAAAGAGACCCAAAGCGACCTGAGATCTCAGGTGTTTGGCAAAGAGGAAAGGAAGAGCCTGGAAATAGGCTGGGGTTTGAGGAGAAGTTGTCGGGGCGAAGAGTGAGGGGAGGGAGCTTGGGTCCTCAAACAGGAGCTCTTTGGTCATCTTGGGGCCACAGAAGTCACAAGACACTGTTGGGTATTGATGGTAGGAAAACAAGACAAGGACGGGTGACCCCAAAAGCTGACTGGGAGAAGGGGTAGGGGTTATGGTTGCCTTACAAACAGCAAAGGGCCTGCCCATGTCTCATTTTCAAATTGGGCTATTTTAGAAAGAAATATCTTTGTGATTCTCTTCTGTTTAGAGCTGCCAAGGATTTAGTTCAAGAAAGGTATCTTTATGGATGTTAGGATGGAAATGTTAGCAGTTGGGCTCTTGGCTAGCTCAGAAGGAGGGGCTTGGCTTTTTAGGGTATAATGTGAGGCTGGACAGCAGCTTCTGAAATAGCCTTCCCTGATACCTGCCCCCACTCACGGAGAAGGGCTGCTCACAATTTATTAACAAATATGGCTCTTATTAATAATTCTTTGAGCTAGCAGAGCAATCCTAGCTGATTGAAAATAATTACCAACCTCTCCAGTTGATTAAACAGCACATTTGGATTTTCATTTATATCATCATTTTGATTGAATGATGTGTGTGTACGTGGGGCTGTGTGTTAACAAGGTGTCTCTTAAAAGTAATAATAAGTACTCAATGAGAAAGAGTTGCATATTGCTCAGTATAAAAGCAAAAACAAGAAGTCTAAGGCAGGTGAGCAAAAGAACAAAACCGGGACCTAAAATAAATTATGAAAGACAGACTGTGACAGAGATAAAGTTTCATGGGACGCAAGTGATAAACACATAGAAAAATACTTATGACGTTCCAAGCATAGCATCAGAGGATTGAAAATTCTGGTCAGCATCAACAAACAAGCAGTATAATTAATCTGGAACAGAAAGAATACCACAGATGTTTAAAATTATTTTTTTTTCTACTGACTCAGTCTCCTGCATACTTACAAATTGAAGCATGTAGATTAATAGCTCCTGAGGTTGACGCCCAACGGGCCCAGCTCCAGGACTGTGTTTGCACTCAATGACATCTTCTTGGATTCACACTGTTTCCCCTAATCAGGATATAGAATAATTAAAGCCTAAACTCGTTTTGTCTCACAGTGGTCACCCAAGTGTGTTCTGTTAGAGATTCACTCAACAAGCATAACAAACAAAAACTCCACCAGAAACTGCTGCATCTCACAGAAGGGGTGCAGGCTGCTCTTCTTTGCTCACATAACTTAGTTTAGAGCAGCCTCATTCACAACACGATAGTGCTAACTTGCTTCCACCTGGTTCATTTGAATTCGGATTTTGCTGCAGGTCTCCATCTGGTTTAGTTCCACAAACTTTAAATGCTAGAGAAAAGATTATGCAAACGTGGAAGTTCATAACACCCTGAGGCCATTTTATTTCACAACCTTGAGGAGTAGGCAAATGTTTTCCTGGAGAGGTAAACCAAGTCACCAAGCTGTTCTGTTGATGGCTTAACATTTCCTATCAAGTCAGAGGCAAAACAAACATGAAAATCTTGGCCAGAATTGAAAATTCAGCAGGTTTGTTAGAGCGCTGCCCTCTCTTAAGCTGGCTTTTTGTTTTTTACCTGCAGTGCTGGTTAAACATGAAATTTTTCTGAAAGGGCAGGGAAAGGCAGAGTGGTCCATATGGATTGGAAAGAGCCGGCTCTGCTGAGGAAGGCCTCATCTCAGACCCGGCAGCTCTTCCTTTAAAGAGTGCTGGCTTCTCGGGCATGGTGGCTCATGCCTGTAATCCCAGCACTTTGGGAGGCTGAGGCGGGCGGATCACCTGAGGTCAGGAGTTCAAGACCAGCGTGACCGACATGGAGAAACCCCGTCTCTACTAAAAATACAAAATTAGCCGGGTGTGGTGGCACATGCCTGTCATCCCAGCTACTTGGGAGGCTGAGGCAGGAGAATTGCTTGAACCCAGGAGGCAGAGGTTGTGATGAACCGACATCACGCCATTGCACTCCAGTCTGGGCAACAAGAGCGAAACTCGGTCTCAAAAAAAAAAAAAAAAAAAAAAAAAGTGCTGGCTCATGGAGCTCCAGGGTACCCTCACCATGGATTGTGCAGATCTCTGAGTGTCCCAAGTCAGAAACATGGCCACCCCACCAGGCCCTTTTTAACCTGGATAATTCACCCCACGCCTCTCGTTGGACCCACCAAGTCTCATATGGGGTTGACACAGGCATCAGCCACCTCACAAACACTGAAATTAGATATAATTTACCAAACTGTGAGGTCCTGGATAAGGCCTTATATTCCTTTGCTATGAGTTTGATCAGGAGCAAAATCCTTAGATCTCTTTCTGTTTGAACTGTTATAGAAAAAAGTATCTTTGTGATTCTCTTTTGTTCAGAGCTGCCAAGGATTCAGCTCAAGAAGGATATCTTTATGGGTCTTCAGGAGATTTTGGCAGTCAGGCTCTCGGCTAACTCAGAAGGAGGATCTTGGCTATTTTACTAAATAGGTTAGTCAAATAGAATACGGAGAGAAGACATGCAACTGTACTAAAAAGACAATGTTCTCTGCTCTAAAAATTGTGTATTCACAATTTAAATGTTATTTTAACTTAGAAATGCATTTTGTCCACATTTATGTTCAAGATGCAAAAGGTATTCTGACATATATACTTACACACACAAAGAAAAAAGTACTCAAAGAGAGGCTGAGAAGTCATCTGTCCACTTAGTAACCAGAATAGAAATAGAAATAGAGAGCAGGTACAAAAATAATTTCTCAGAGTCTTTGGCCTACAAAAGATATATTTGGTTGTGCCATGCGAACTAGCCCTTCCCCCGTTGCCTGTATATCCCATCTTAATAATTCCCATCTCCTTTTATTCTTCCCCAAGTCACTAGGCTAAGAGAATGTTTCTAATTATCACTAACAAACCCACTTAGGTTATGTTTACATAACAATAAGAAAATGTTTCAGGGAGGAATTAACTATTGCACTGGGGCGTAGGCATTAATTTCTTCATGTAAGATCCAGTTCTTCTTTACTGAATGTTTCATCAAATGTTTATCTCAAACCAGTAGGCTTAGCCTGGTTAAGGGGTGTTTTCCACATAAAAGCCTCCTGATTGGACAAAAACTGGCCTCACCCAGGGTGTCCTAAGATGGTCTTATCTTTTAACACACTTTCTGACTCCTTTTAGACAAAAGAAGGAAACTAAAACAAAATTGGGGCTAACAATCTGGTTAGGAAGATAGGACATTAGTATTAAACCAGGGACAGATATGCTTGTGAAAATGAAAGAAATGTAAAGGAGAGAATCATTAAATTTCATAACAGAGCTGGAAGGACTTAAAACTAATCTAATCTTCCTTATTCTACAGATGTGGAAACAGAGAACCACGCAGAGCAAAGCGACTGACCACATATTTTTTCTTTCTTTCTTTTTTTTTTTTTTTTTGAGATGGAGTCTCGCTCTGTTGCCCAGGCTGGAGTGCAGTTGAGTGATCTCAGCTCATTGCAACTTCTGCCTCCTGGGTTCAAGCAATTCTTCTGCCTCAGCCTCCCAAGTAGCTGGCACTACAGGCGCCTGCCATTATACCAGGCTAATTTTTGCATTTTTAGTCGAGGTGGGGTTTCACCATATTGGCCAGGCTGGTCTCGAACGCCTGACCTCTTGACTGATCACATTTTCTAAAAGCACTGGCCTATGGTTCAAGAGCTAATGTAAACATTTCAAGGCAGATTTTTCTAGATATGCTAGGAAAAAAAAAAAAAAAAACTCATCCAATATTCTCTTGTATTCAAAAATCCAATCATTCATATTACAGTCTTTTCCCATATTTCTCCCAAATTTCTCATGCTGACGTTCAGGCCAGGTCTAATTTTTGGTAAACTGCCTTAGGTGGGCAAATATTCCAAGGGAAGGACCTAGAGTCTGCCCCTGAGTAGAGGGAACCATACCTGCAGCCCCTGGGTAGAGGGAACCATACCTGCAGCCCCTGGGTAGAGGGAACCATACCTGCAACTAGAGATAAACCACTACAGCTGCCAACGTAGGCCTTTGTGCTTAGTAATTTGCCCATGACTTGTAGCTAAGGCTTCTTTAGCACACAGGAGACAGAATTCTAATCAGGACTATGTTTTCTGGATTTACTATACCCCAGCTCAGTCTGAGGGACAGAGAGGAGTGGTTTTGTTTTGATCACTTTCATTTGTGGTAGTCTATGCCTGCCTCTTGCTCTTTCAACAAATCCATAAGATTCCTTATTCTCCTCTTTCCTCTTTTTTAAAATCTTAATTTCCGAGTCATTTCAAGTTTGCTGTTTTTCGATTTTCTGCTCCACCCATCCTTCACCTTAATCCTCTAATCCCATTCAAGCAAAGTAGTAAGTTATTTTTCTTCTTTGTTTTCTCCCCGTAGTTTTCTACTTTTTAGTTTTTTTAAAATATCTTGGGAAGTTTACCCTTTTTGCCAAATGTGAATTATGCTCATGGACATTTAAGAATTCATCTTCTAGTTTTGATGAGGCTAAAAGACTATGGTTTCTTTCACTTTGTTTTTTTTTTAATCACTAAACTTCTTGAAAGAAGTCTACACTTGGTCTATACTTAGTGTCTTTACATCTCATTAATTCCTCAACCCAATACTGTCTGGCTTCCACCAACATTACTCAATTAAAAATACTCTCTGACCAGCATCCTCCCAAGTGGCCAGTTCAATGGCCTCGCTTTCTCTTGTTATCCTACTTGACATTTTATGCAACATTTGACACGGTTGACCAGTCCCTTCTTATTGAAACGCTCTTCTTTCTCCGCCTCTTTTATTTCACCAGCCTCTCTAAGCTTTCTTCTTGGGCTTCCTTTGCTAGTTTCTCCCACCCTTTGATGTTGTTTTTCTAGGGGATTGATTTATGGTCAGCTCACACTGCACACTTCAGCCCCATTCTAATTTCTTTAATAGTTCCATAAGTATTGATAAAGTTCTGTGGCTCTTAACTTCTCAGTTGAAGTCCAGTTCATATTTCCTAGGGCCTATAGGACATCTCCTCTTATTTTCTCTGAACAGGCTGTATTATTATTATTATTATTATTATTATTATTATTACCACTATCATGATCATCATGATTAAATTCTCCACCAGTTTACACATGCTGTTTTCTTTGCTTCCTACATCCTTCTTTCACCACACCAGCTTGGAGCACTCCTGCTAATTATTCAAGACCAGCTCTCCTGCTATCTGTTCTTTGTCACTCTTAGGAAGAGTTAGTTGTTATTTCCTTTCTTCTTTTTGAAGCATTTTGATAGAGATAATGACTTACATTAATGGAATTCTTAGGTGCCAATTGCTGATCTAAATTTTTCACACACATTATCTCATTCTTTCTGCCTGGTAGCCTCTGATAAAGTTACTCTACCAATTTTGGATGAGGAAACTAAGATTCCATGTAGTAACCTGACCAGGATCCCATAATAAAGTTTCAATTCCAGAGAGTCTGAATAACTTCCCCAAATAATAGTAGCTAACTTTTACTGACTGCTTACTTTGTGCGCGGATTTTCTGTGTTACCTCATTTAGTCCCCAGAACAGTTAGGAAGGAGTATAATCATGGTACCTATTTTATAAATGAGGAAATTGAGGCGTAACTTGCTCAAAACTGCATAGCCTATGAAGTAGCCAAGTCAGAATGTACTTTGTATTATTTCTCTCGATGACAAAATTTCCCAAATTGTTCTATGAGTAACCCCTTAGGTGCGTCCATCTTGCACGCTTCCTTCAGCTCCTTGAAGGCCCAGATGATGTCATTTTCAACTCTAAAACCTTTTATCTAGTCACAAAATACAAGTTTGATAAATGTGGAGAGAAAGAGACAGATAGACAGACTGGCTATTGTTGTCTTTGGGTTGTTTTTCTAGGGCAACCGATATGCACCCACTTTATTATATGTTTTCCATTGCAAATTATTTGTTTTGTGTAGCATTATGAAGTCTAATATGAAAATGCTGTCTCTGCAAACTTTCTTTTTGAGTAAAAATAGTTTCAGTTCCCAAAGGTAAAATAACTGCTGCCCTGACAATCTGTATCTGCTTC